CCATAACCTCATTCATTCCCTCAACCCTCCTTCCCAATCCCTCTCAGGCTGCTCTGCTCCTTCCGTTCTGACCCCATTTCCTGAGGATCTCATTCCCTGAGGAGCTGGGCCTGACATCTCAGACAGAGGCTGAGGAAAGGAGGTAGGTCGGAAAGAGACACTGTGTGTCTGCGTCATCTTATTTTCTGTGTAATTATTTCGGAACTGGGCGGCCAAAGACGTAAGCGCTTAGACTTTTACCAGGAAGTTTGGAGATAGTCCCTCAGGTACCCAGGAGTATTAATACTTCTCTAGTCTATGCTGAACCATGGCTACTGGATGTCATATTTCAGGGGGTAAAAATGGTGATTTGGGGGGCCGGTGCTGTAGCGTAGTGGGAAAAGCTGCTGCCTGTGATGCTGGCACCCTATATGGGCACCAGTTCAAGTCCCGGCTGCTCCACTTCTGATCCATCTTTCTGCTATGGCCTGGGAAAGCAGTAGAAGAAGGCCCAAGTCCTTGGGCCCCTCCACCCGCATGGGAGACCCAGAGGAAGCTCCTGGCTTCAGGTCAGCACAGCTCTGGCCATTGTGGCCAACTGGGGAGTGAACCAGCGGATGGAAAACCTCTCTCTCCCTCTTCTCTCTCTGTTTAACACTGACTTTCAAATAAATACTTTAAAAAAGGTGATTTGGAACTCCCATTCTTGCTGGCCGTTGTGGCATAATCAGAAGCACAGAGCAGAATCCAGGGGGCCGTGGTTGCGGGACTCGAGAGTGCTCTCAGAACTGGAGAGTTCCTCTTGGCTGTGGCAAGCTGGGAGGATGAGGCCTCCCTGCAGATCAGACCCATCCGCAGGCCTCTGCCCAAACTGCCAGCCTTTGTCCTTGGTAATCCCTCACAATCGTGCAGCTTCTAAGACCCCGAGTCCTCATTTATCTGTGGCAGCTGTGGACATCCCAAGAGCAGGCTGGGATCAGGGGTTTAAGCATCTGCTGTTGGAGCCCCATAAGACAATTAAGTCTCCTGTAGATGAGGAACAATCTATTGATATGCTTGGTATGTGTCATCCTCCATTTTCAATGTTTTTGAGTGCCTGTCTCTGAAAACAGGAACCAGCCTGTTTAAGAACAGCATGTAGCCCAGTGCCACTTCTGCATGCAGGCTTCAAGGCCTGCTGGACTGTGAGCTTCAGGCCTGTCCCTAGATATTATTGTCATCCTTTGGCACCCAGCTCAGTGTCTGGCACACTGGCACATAGTGGTAATTTCAGTAAATTTGTGATGAGTATTAACTAATGATAATGATGTTGACAAGGATGACAGCTGGGACAGAAACAAAGGTTTTTGTGGAAGCTACAAGATGCTTTGTAATGCAAGACATCTCCCTTCGCTGCCCACGGACAGGCTCCTCAAAGCCATGGCTGCCTTCGTTAGAGGAAACAGACAGGGGCTGGTCTTCAGATGGAGTCCTTATCCTTTCATCATGGCCATGCCAGGTTGAAGCTATCAGTGATAGAGAAGGGAATAAGGGCCAGCTGGCTGGGCATGATACCTCGCAAGGAGAGGCCGGGGTTCTCTGCACGCCAGCCTGCTCACTCCTCCAGCTCAGGTCAACTTTAGCGTCTTCTGCCAGCAACTTATCAGGAAAGACCATGACTTTCTGGACGCTGAAGATCCAATTCTTCAGCTGTGCCACCCTCCCTGGCTCTTTCTCCATTCTAGGTCCTGAATTCCTGGTGCTGTGGCTTTGGAATAGGGTTTAAACCTCCTATCCTTGGGACCACCCAGCTTACTCCTCTCTCTGTGGGAACAATTCATCTGTATGATAATGTGTCATTTTTATCTTTAGAGTGAGTCTGGGAGGTTGATGGAGCAGAGGCGATTCTGGCCCAGAAAAGGAAGCTATTTACATAAAACTCCTCCTCTGGGGGCTTTCACCTCCAACACACACTCTACAAGTCAACCCATAAATCTCCTAAGACAGGAAATTTATATGTTTAGGGGCTTGAAAATACTGTAAATTGTCAGGCAACAACAGATTTCAAGAAAGCAGCTAGTTTACCCTGCTGCTCTCAGGTAGGGCCGATGGTGTAGGAGTTGAGAACTGATGGGAAAGTACTTGAATCTGGAGTTAAAAGACCTAGAATGGGGGCTGGCGCTGTGGCGTAGTAGGCTAAGCCTCTGCCTGCAAGCCAGCATATCACATGGGCACTGGTTCATGTCCCAGCTGCTCCACTTCTGATCCAGCTCTCTGCTGTGGCCTGGGAAAGCAGTAGAAGATGGCTCAAGTGCTTGGGCCCCTGCACCCATGTTGGAGACCCGGAAGAAGCTTCTGTCTTTGGATCAGCCCAGCTCCGGCCATTTGGGAAGTGAACAGGCAGATAGATAGACCTTTCTGTCTCTGTAACTCTACCTCTCAAATAAATAAATAATTAAAAAAAAAAAAAAAAAAGACCTGGAGGCCGGCGCCGCGGCTCACTAGGCTAATCCTCGCCTAGCGGCGCCAGCACACCGGGTTCTAGTCCCGGTTGGGGCACCAGATTCTGTCCCGGTTGCCCCTCTTCCAGGCCAGCTCTCTGCTGTGGCCAGGGAGTGCAGTGGAGGATGGCCCAGGTGCTTGGGCCCTGCACCCCATGGGAGACCAGGAAAAGCACCTGGCTCCTGGCTCCTGCCATCAGATCAGCGCGGTGTGCCGGCCGCGGCGGCCATTGGAGGGTGAACCAACGGCAAAAGGAAGACCTTTCTCTCTGTCTCTCTCTCACTGTCCACTCTGCCTGTAAAAAAAAAAAAAAAAAACCTGGAATATAAACCTGGAATATAATTCTTGGGTCTGCCATTTACCAACTAGGTAATCCTGGGCAACCCATCTAACTTTTTTGACTTAACCTTCTGTTGAATGAGGGCATGTTTATATCTTAAATGTCTGTTGTGAGAATTAAATGAGGTGGTGTATGTGAAAGCTGTATAGCACCAGACAAATGTTCATTTTAATATCTAGTCAGATTTGCATCTTTGGAGATTCTTCATGTAAAATACACATAGTAATACTTCTGTGTTTCTGGTGACGTTTCACAGGTACAGAGTTCTGGAGCTCAGCTCTAGAGTCAGGCCGTCTGGTCAGTCATGGAAATGGTGTTTCTCTCTGAAGCCTCAGTGGGAAGGAGAGGATCCATCTTGCAGGTGTGATTGGGAGCATTAAATGAGATCGTTATTCACAGTGCTTACCCTGGACCTGTCATGTCGAAAGGAACTCAGTATCTCAGTTGTTACCATTATTGATTAATGAAGATGTGCAGCAGAGTGGCCCAATAACATGCGATGGAGATCTGAGCTAGTGTCCCACCTCTTAGGACTTCAGCTTCCATATTTATACCCTCAAAACAATTTGTTTTTCTTCTTCCAGGTTGTCATGAGGATTTTTTTTAAGTGTATGTAAACTTTGATCTGGTTAAACTTGAAGAAGAATATACATGCCAGATTAATTTAAACACTGAATTTAGTTCATAAGGATTGAGCTTTTATCACTGTATCAGTTCATGCCTATGGAAAAGGAGTACGGCATTCTTTCAGTCACTTAGGCAGAATTCAAACATCAGATCTTGAAGTAAATCCCTTCAAACCTGCATACATCCTTTGCCAAGAAAACCCCTCCTCAGGATGTTCCACTGCCTCAATTCTGTGTATGTAGGCTGGTTTCTTTGTTAATTTCCACTTTGGTTATTATGTGCTTTCAATATTTAATACCTGGATGACCTCTCCTTGCCTCACAGGATGCTCCCAAGATTACCTTCTTTCCTCTGATTAGTTAGTGTGGCTTCAGGGAATACCTTCCTTTTAACATTAAACTGGGCAAAAACCAAAATAGAAGGATAAATCTGTAGCAAGATCAAAAATAGAATTTCTAGCTAAATATAAACCTAGAGGGAATTGTCCAATTATTTAGATGGTCCCTTATCGCAGACAATCCAGAATTGATTGACTTGTACTTTTTCCATATATAGAATAAAACGGCTAATGAATGCCAAGAGTAATATTTTTTCTTTAGAAGAAGATAATTTTCAATGCTGTCTTAAATGCTGTTGTCTTTCCCACATATATTATAGCATGTGATTTTTCACAACTACATGCATTCTTTGGGGATCATCCAGTCTCATTTTGAGTTGTTGATCAGAGAGCATTGAACTGGGAAGACCAGGATTTGCTAGCAGAATTGCTCTGAAACTTGGGCAGGTTTCTCAGTCACTTGCTTCCTTCCACTCTGCCGAGCTAGAATTGGAATGGATGGCTCTGCTCTTTTTCAGAGTCCCAATTTAAGTCACAAGCTAACAGCTGTGTATTTTTTTTTTTTTAATGTTGGACTGACACCAACTAGGGACTGGGAAATGTGGAGAAAGACAAATGTGGGTGTCACATGACGCAAAGTAGCCATTAAGAGCACGAATATAATGCAAATTGCATGCAAATTATACGCAAACTTTGCAATAATTTGTAGACTTAGTTTTGGAGCTTGCAATTAGCACTGAGATCCTATGAGGATTTAAAACTAATGTTTTTTGAAATTATTGATTTTTTCCTATGTTGCCGGGACTCAACTGCATAAAGTTTGATACTCCTCCCTAGCCTTCACCCCATAATCACTCATTTCACTAGTGTTTGACTGCAATCTACACACGGTCTCGTCCCCAACTTAGCTTGACGTCACGTGACATCACATTTGCATACTACCTGGGACTGGGTGTGACGCTCCTCCTTTCTGTGTCTTCTCATTGGCGGCGCTAGAGAACCAGCCCTCTTCCGGACGGACCAATCAACGGCCTCACGGATGGAGACAAGCAGACGGGGGTGGGGCGGGGGTGGGGTCTTGACTTGGATCGCTAGGCACAGCGACCAATCATCCTTGGGAAAGGGGAGAGCAAGCCTTGAATTGGTTGGGAGGGGGGTCCTGGGGTTCCATAGGCCAATGAGAGTTCTGAGCTGAGGGGGCCGGTCTCCGCCCCGTAGGGCAGATAAGCAGCGGCCGCGGGGGTTGGGGGGCTGTGTGGGACTCGCTATAGGACCGAGGCGGGCGGGCGGCCGGGAGGGCGATGGCGGGGGCCGCAGCGGGCGGCAGAGGTGGAGGTGCCTGGGGGCCCGGGCGCGGAGGTGCCGGGGGGCTCCGGCGGGGTTGCTCTCCTCCAGTCCCCGCTGGCTCCCCCCGGGCTGGGCTGCAGCCGCTCAGGGCCACGGTCCCCTTCCAGCTGCAGCAGCCGCACCAGCGCCGGGACGGGGGTGGCCGCGCAGGTGAGCCGGGCCTGGAGCGGGTGCTGGGGGAGGAGCCGTTGGGGGAGGGGGGTGCGCGTGCAGAGGGGGAGGGGTGCGGCGAGAAGTGTGAGTGGGGAAGTGGACGGGGGCAAGAAAAGAGAAAGGGGAGCGCGTGAGAGCGAGGAGCCGTGAACGTGGAGTGAGTGCACCGCCGGGACAGGGTACAGCGAGTCGGGGTCCGGAGGTGAGGTGAGGGCCCTCGTAGAAGGAGGCTGGCTTTGGGGGCGTAACCGAAAAGTGGGTAGAGGTATCGTATGCGGTAAGTGGAAGCTGCAGGGGGTGGGAGCGAGGCGTGAAGAGGAGCGGCGCGTGGTGGGGGCGCCCTGTGCCGAGGGCTGGTCCTGGGAGCGCGCAGCCGGTGGGCGCTTGACGCCCGCACGGGGAGGGGGAGGGGCACGGAGCGGAGCCCGGCGGAGCCATGTGTTACTTCTCCAGCTGGAGTTTGGCCCCAGCATCTCTGCACCGCGCTGGAGTTCCTTTCTCCGCCACTTCACGTGCGCTTCCCTTTAGCTACCTCCTGGAGCCGGTCTCATCGCAGCCGGTCGGAGTAAGTTAGTTTAACGGCTTTTCCTGCCGTGCAAACTCTCAGCTCCCGATTCCCTACATTCCTCTCGGTGTGGCCCAGAAGTTGCACGTTCCCAGCTCATTGACCTGCTTAATATGGCTGTCTCATTCCAGCCATCGCTTGAGTCTCTGTGTGTATAGGAGCTGGGCAGTTTGCCCCCTGCCTTATCCTCCTCCCCTCATCAAGGCTGTTTTGTCCTGGGCATTGCCAGCCAACGTGGCAGTGGGGTGAGGGCTTGAATCAAGTACGCTGTGGCAAATACCCCACTTTCTGAACAGCAGCTTGATGTGGTGGGTGTGGGGAAGCGGGGGAGGAGCACGCCTAGCCTTGCTTTCACACCCAGAGCTGTGATGGTTCCCACAAAAGCAGACACTTAGGAACGGGGAAAAAGGAACCTACTTGCATGAGGAGGTTGGCAGTAAGTTGAAAGTGAGGCTTGCATTTGATTCACACCAGATGTGAAAAGATCATTGCACACTTCCAAAGCCTGAGTCTGTACCAAATGTACAGAAGTCATGGTCCCTGCCATCTTAATGGTTAGTGACAGTCTCTGAACCAGAGTCGCTTGAGCTCTTGGTGATGACTAAGCTTAGCTGCTACACAGCCCTCTCCTGCAAGTGTAGTTGCTGCCGTGCCTTGCTAGGTGGGAATGGGATTAAGCAGGTCTCAGAGTTAGCAAACCCCCCAAGCCTGCCCAGACCTCACAGCGGCATCACATCCTGGAACACAGAAACTTGGTCAAATCTGGGAACAAGATGGTGACCAAGTAGTAGATGCATGTATAGAACCCAGTGGTGTAGAGCAAGGCAGACTTGGGCCCATCACAGGCTGTAGAGCAAACCACAAGACTACAGACCTGTCGGTTTTGTTTGGGCTTCCTTAAAACCCAGGAAAGCCAGTGGAACCACAAACATCAGAACCTTAGTTATTTTTGGTAGACACCAACAGAATGCCTGCCTGTGCAGTAGCTGGAAATTGATTAGCGATCCTCTTTCAATAGCAGTTATTTTGTGTCTCCTACAAAGCCAATACATGTTCAAATGCTAGTGGATGCTGTGGAAGGAGGAAGAATGTAGATTTGGAAGCTTGGGCTTTTTACATGGCCTATTCCTTTTGTAGAGGTGGAGGAGGCTAGAGCTGGGCATGACTTGTCAGGTGATTTAGGGCGGGGATGGTGAACTCTGGCTTATGGATTGGATTGATCCATTATTTCTCCACCTGTTAATATGCATTTATCTGAGGATTTAAAATATGGCAGGAGAGAGAAAAAAATAGAAGAGTAGCCTGCACCTGTGGACTTCTTTGTGACCAGAAATTAGAGAAATGTACCTGGCCTTTGGTTTGGGGGTGGGCAGGACACACCTGGTCTTAGATTGAGATCATCTCCATTCCTTGGCCTTGAGAAGCTGCAGGGGTGGTTTCCTCCAGGCCAGTGGGGTATATGGGGCAGAGGGAAACCCCTTGTAGTTGCACACCCATAAGAGACTGACATTAGGATAAAGAATGCATGGGTTTTGAGCCCAGGTTCTGTTATTTACTAACTGTGTGGCTTGGAGAATGTTGCTTAGATCTGTGCCTCAGTTTCCTCCTCTTAGGTAATAGCTACATCCTAAAAATCAAATGAGTTAATCCATAGAAAGTGGGTAGAGCAGTGCCTGGCACGTAGGAGGTGCTATAAACAGTGTTTGCTTTTGCTTGTATTGCTGTTACTCCCTCCCCTGAGCCGAGGTGAGAGCACTGTTGGCCAGGACCCACTGCCTTTTCAGGCTTCAAAGAGCAAACCCAGATTGGTCTGAAACCAGTACTGCAGGTTTCAGAATTTCAGGGCCTCCTCTTGCATTTTTATTCCCTCATCTTTTAAAATGAGCTTTCTAAACAGTTCTCTGCAGGCCAACTGTTTAAGAAGGCATGTGAGCTGGGACAGGGTTTCAGGAACAAGTGTGTGTCGTCACCATTTCTCTTTCCCATCTCAAAGTGACGTGACCTCAGGGCTGTGTGGTTGTGTCCCTTCTGCACACCTGCTGTGCTCTTGACAAGCTACGTTAGACCTTGTAAAGAGGATTCTGGTGTAAAGAGTGGGGTTGACCTTCTGTGATCATTAATCCGTAAGGGATGTCCTCATAAAATGAGCAGTGGCTTCATTTTTATGAGCCTGCACTAGGACTAAGGAAGGCTGGAGAGTGGGGAGAACAATGCAGGCCAACTCCAAGAAAGCTGAGAACAACCAGTGGGTGGTAGAAACCCAGGATAAAGTTCTTGTGGCGGTTCCCCCTTAAATTAAATTCTCTTTTGTGTCTTAGGTCAATTAGAGGCTGCTAACTTTTATGTTCTTCCAGGACCACTGATGATGGAGCAAGCAGGACTCAGAGGTGAATTATGGGGTCTCTATCCCGTCTAGTGCCTCTGTCTCTGCGTCCCTAGAATGAAGATCGTGTTTAATCAAGCTCTGCAGGTCATTCCTCCAGTGGACCGGCTCTGCCGGAGCCGGCCAGCTGCTGCCTCAGAGCCTCCTTACCCACCAGAATCTTGTTAAATAAGATGTTAGCAATTGTGGCCTGCAGGCCATACCTGGCCATCTGTCTGTTCCTGTAAATAACTTCTAAAAAATGTTTATTTTCATCTACTTGAAAGAGTGGCAGAGGGAGAGAGAGATCTTCCATCTGCTGATTTACTCCCCAGATTCCTGCAGTAGCCAGGGCTGGGCCAGGCTGAAGCCAAGAGCCATGAAGTCTATCTCAGTTTTCCAGGTGGGTGGCAGGGCCCCAAGCACTTGAGCCATCATCAGCTGCCTCCCAGGATTCATTAGCAGGAAGCTGGATGAGAAGTGGAGCAGCTGGGACTGGAAATCCGCACTGCGATATGAGGTGTGGGCATCCCAAGTGGTCATTTAACTTGCTGTGCCACAGCGCCTGACCCTGTAAATAAAGTTTTATTGGAACACAGCCACACTTCTTTGTTTAGATATTATCCATGGCTGCTTTCATGCAGTCAGTGGCAGAGCTGAGTAGTTGTGGTAGAGATGGCATGGCCCACACCAGGTGCCTCTTTACAGGAAAGTTTGCCCACTCTTGTCTTAAACATCGCACCTGTCCATTATTGCTAAACAAAGATCATCAGTTCAACTGTTTGTGATGTACACCTCTGCAGAAAATCAAGAGAGTAAAGGAAACTAACGAGCTCGAATCCCCCCTCTTACTTAAAGGGAAAAGGAAGGGAGCCATCTGCTTCCAGTCAGCTTCCTGATCTTTGTGGAAGATCGCGTGTGAATCCAGAATGCCCACGTGACCTTTGTCGGGTGAACTGTGTTCAGTAGACATCAGCTAATTTGAATTTACGTGAAAGCTTAACTGTTAGGCAAATTTGCTCCCCCTCCCCTTGCATCCCTCCTCTCTCGCAGCCTAACTACCCACAACTGCAGTTAGCGCATTTTAAAATCAGATGGGAATTTCTTGAGGCTTATCTCCTGTTTTGAATTTTTCCCATCACCTTTCTTTTTTCTGAACAGATCGTTGAGAGCTGGCAGTAGTCGCGGTTGCTCTAACACACTGGCTTCCTCACAGGGACAGAGGAAGGTTGGTTTGTACAAGTGGCGGTTAGGTTCCCAGGATGGCTGTTTCTTGAGTATAAGGCAGCATTGTTATTAGCAGTGCTATTGGTAATTATTAAACTCCTGTCCTTCAGCGCTTTGAAGCCTAGTCCTGGCGGCATGGGTGTTCAGATCAGTATGGAATTGCATGAAGGAACCTGGAGACCCCGAGAAAGCCCTCATCAAGCTGGCCCTTCTGGCCCTTGGTGCCAGCAACAGCCCGGGCATGAGACCAGACATGAACCTTGCCGTGCCAAGGAGCCATCTTGCTGCAGTGAGGCAAGGGGGTGCGGTTAAAATCCTTCTAAGAGCACCAGTTCTCCTAAACCCATGATTGAGGCACCTGTTTGGGAAGCGTTAGAGCACCAGGCACTTTCTAGGCCGGCACCACTAACTGTTGCTCTTGCCAGCTTTGCCAGTACTAGGCACGCGGTCAGCAAAACGCCCTGCTGGAACATCTGACTCTTAAATGTTACCGTCATTGATGACGTCCTTGACTTTGGGGGCTGTGTCGTCTACCTGCCTGTGTCTCTGGCACCCAGGGGAGTGTACAGCTGGTGTTCTTCAGTGTTTCGGATAGCAGAGGGTTAGACTTGTGTGGTATGGGGAGTTCCTCACTTACAGAATGTAGACTAAGAGATGTCACACCGCTTGAGGTCAGTGAGGAGGGGGTGAGAGCAGCAGTGGGGCGTGCTGGTACGAGGACGTTGTTCTCTGTTTCCAGACGTAAATCAGCCTCCAGAAAATTGGAGGCAGGATTGCAAAACTTTTATAGTGATGGTGTTAATTTGAGCGTTGCCAAAGTGGTTGATGTGGCCTTTCAAAGCC